CCCCTGTCGGCTGGAGGACGGGGCCCGGGTTCAAGCTCAGGGACCGGCTGATGTCTGAGCCAGACGGCAGCAGAGATCCCAGGTGTCCTGACACCGCTGTCCCCGGCTGTAACCACTGGACATGCTCCTTCGGTGTCCTGGCTCCCGTCCCCCTGCACCCACGCTCCCTTTCCCCAGCTGGGTACAAAACCAGGCATCCCAAATCCCAGATCAACAGCCATGTGTGGACCCAGGTGGCTGGAGCCCCACTCCCTGGCTATAACCACTAGTAGACGCTCCCTCGCCAGTGCTGGGTGCAGAGCCCTGCCATCCTATCTGGCTGCGGGCACACAGCACCCTCCGCTCCCCCTCACCTTTTCGGCAGAGGCACAGGGTGACCAGGGCCAGCAGGGTCACGAGTGTCAGGGTCCTCATGGTGCTGGTGGGTCTTGGCTCTCTCTTCTCTCAGCTGCTGCTTCGATGCTGTCCCTGCTTCTCCACCTGCCATTTATACCCTGCCGAGAGCCCCGGGGAAGGGGCCGCGTCCCCCCCTTATCCTGCCCCCCTGTCCCTTGCTCTGACCACAGGCCGGGAGGGCCCCGGCAGGCTCAGGCCAGGTCTATTTTGGGCTCATCCGCTCGGGCTCCGGGCTGCCAAACCAGGCGGCAATTGTGGCCAGGGCTCCTGGCTCTGTTGAGGGAAACAAGGTCGGGGGGTGGAGGGGATGCAGGGCAGGGCAGGGATCAGGGGACAAACAGGACAGGGTAGGCAGCCAGAGACAGGCTGCTTCGGAGTGTCTGCTCTCCCAGCACACAGCGCAGCCCAAGGGACTTAGAGGCCTGGTTTGAGGCCCCCCAGATCCCTCCTCACACCTCCACACTTGGGCCTGGATCCAGCGCAGCCCCTAGGGTACTTGAGCCCGAGACCAGAAGGCGGCTTAGAGCAGCCTTTTCCCAGCCCACAGGCTCTGGTTGTCATTACCTTGATGGGATTTGAGCACTGGTGGGAGAAAGATGGTCTGGTGACGCTTCTGCCACTGAGATGCTCCATCGCCCCTCTCCCGAGCCCTCATCCCACACGGCTTCAAGGCACTGAGAGTTAAGAGGCGAGAGGCCTGGTCCCACCTGCCCAGGAGCAGTCATCTGGTCATGGGATCCAGCTGTTCAGAGAGGTCCCAGTACCAGAAGCCTGGCTCTGGGGGGCTACCGGGGGCTCTGGGTGGGCTTACGGGGCGGCCCTGGCTGTGGGATCTTTAACGGGGGGACAATCGAAAATGGCACTGTT